TGGTGGTGGTGGTGGTGTTGGTGTGAATAGTTGACACCTCAATAGACCTCTTGACAACCAAAAGGGTTCTTGCATTTGCTCGTGTATCTATATAGACACATATAAGGCATATTCACTTGCAATGCACCGGTTATTGCGTTGTTACTGTGGTAGTTTCCTAAGCCTACCCGCCTGGGCAGCCAACCCGTGTTGGCGGCCTCCACCTTGACGCCTGGTACACTTTTGTCCGCAGGCTGTGGATTCACGAATCCACTTTTGGCCGACTAGTCATGTGCCCCGAGTGCACAAATCGAGTGTGTACCACATCCCAACCAGAGAGGAGCATGGACCGCTGCACAAGGGATGACACGCATTCGAGACTTCGACATGCCATCGTGGCATGGCTCAAGCGCGACAAAAGTGTCGCGCACCGGGAAGCTGGGCGGTGGGAAGACGTCGCGTGCCGACACCGACGAGGGTTCGAGAAGTGTACCAAGTTTTGCATTTTGTTTTTCTTGGGTTTTGACAACTTGTTCAACTTGGTTTGAAGTTTCATATGGTAGCGGAGCTCCTGTAAAGGGAGCATAGGTCAACAGTGTTGCAGTTCACTCTAGAACACCTTGGCCACTTTCACTTAGTGATCTTTGAGCCATGGCTGATTCTGGCAATGCTGATCGACCTGCCCGCGAGAGATCCAGGGGCCGCTCCGAAACTCGTCGTGCTCCAGAGACTCGTCCGGGCGGTGGGAGTTCAAGTCAGCAGAGACTCTCGAATTTGGAGAACCAGGTAAGTCATCTAGCAAGTACCTTGAGCGGACTTGGACCGTTGCTTGAGCAGCTTTTGTCCGTGCAGCCGCCAGCTAGTTCGAATCAATTCCAAATTCCTCAAACACAGGCGCCGATCACGCCAAATGTTGTCGGTACTCCCACTGCACCGAATGCAGTTCCCGTGAACGTCCCGCCGTTTCCAGCCGGTGCCGATAGCACTTTTGCGCATACCAACCATCCCAATTTAGATATTCCGAATCATCCCATGAACCCATGGCCTTCTCAGCCTAACCAAGGCATCTCGAGTGGATCAGGAATGCAAGATCCTTTGATGGCGAACGATCCATGGCGACAGTTCTATCAGAGCTCGTCGCAGGCCGCTGGGGTTCCGGATCAACCGTTTCCGCACAGTTTGGCAAATAGTCCAGATCAACAGCATCCGTTTGCACAGCAGGGATTAGGCACAGTTATCCCTCCACCTCCCGGGTTTTCGCCAGTGCAGCCGATCCAAGTGAACACTCCCCAAGGTTCTGCACATGATCAGGGAGAGCAGAAAGATGATAATCCCTTTAGACGATCGGAGAAGTGGATGCCACCGGTGCCAACCCCAGCTCTCCAGGACTGGAAGACGCGTCCAACGGAGATCGTAGGCTTTATTGAATGGGTCACGAGTTTGGCGTCTTGGACAGGGTTAGGCTCCAACGCATACCCCACTGAAATCATGGCCGCCCTGAAAGAACGCGAGCCACTTGGTTGGCATCGCTTGACATCCGCACAGGTGACAAGATCAGTCAGGCTCATGTCCATTCTCAAGCTTTGCTTCGAAAACAGTGCCAAAGCGTCTCTATAGTCATCAGAAACTATGAAGAAGCAAAGGGGTTTCAGCGCTGCTGTGGATTCGAATGCCTTCGACTTTTGGCCAAAGAGTACGCAATCAAGACTAGAACAGAGCTTCTTTTCTTTCGGTCACAGTTGTCCAATGCATCCATCACCTCCAAGACAATCCCCGAATGTGTGAGGAAGGTTCAATCCGAGCTGTACCATTTTGAAAGAGTGTCACAGTTGGTTGACCCAAATGTGAACACGCAAGGACTTGAATTCCAAGAAGCTGATAAGGTACTTTTGTTACTTCGCTCACTTCCAGCTCAATGCCGCCAATGGATTGTCCTTCATTCTTCCGACGAGCGATTCGATACTTATCTCCAGGCTGCACTTCGATATGAGTCTCAACAACGGATTTGGTCTGATCTCAACAGCCAACCTATTGCAGCCATCAAAGGGGATAAGGGTAAGAAAGGGGGAAAAGGAAAAGACAAGAAGGGAGAAAAGGGTGCAAAGGGCTTCGAGAACCGAGATAAAGGGAAAGGAGTTGGAGGAACATCCGAAACGAGAACGTGTTTTAGTTGCAATCAAAGAGGTCATTTAGCGAGTGATTGCCCATTGAAGAAAGGAGGAAAGGCCAAGGTTGATGATCATCCCAAAGGTGACAAGAAAGGCAAGGGCAAGAATGACAAAGGGGACGAAAAGGGAAAGAAAGGTGGCAAGTATGGAAAGGGAGGCAAGCCGAAAGGACAGAGGGCAACGGAATTCCATGAACAGCAACCGGAATCCGAAGTCGGGAGCGAATGGTCAGAGCCAGAGATTGAGAGTGGCGGTCGCCTGTCACCCCTGTTGCCTGTCGAAAGCATCGCTCGTCCATTCTTCATTTGCCAGAATGTTGATAGCGCTGACCCATTCCTTTGGCTTGTTGACTCCGGCGCTAGCCGGACCGTTGTGTCGATCGATTCCCTTTCGGCCTATCGAGTGTTGCGTGAACGAAAACTTGCCAGCCCCATCTCATTTCGTACTGCTTCAGGTGAACAGGTCCAGGTCGATCATGAGTGTATGCTAGAAGTCAGCTTCCCCACTGTCATTGAACATGACGATCATGATCGAACCAAGTTGGTAAGGTATGAAATCAGAGCAGTTGTAGGACCTGTTGAGCATAATCTCTTGAGTGTGTCTGGGCTGACACGTCTTGGAGCGACGTTTGTTTTTGGTCCTGACCAGTGCCATATCCGTGTCGGCGACATCAGGAGATTGGATTGTGAGATTTGGAGCAGTGTGCCTGGATTCGTGCCCATGTTCGCAAGCACCGTGGGAAGGACCAGGATGTTGACATGACTCGAAATTTGGACCCTTGGACCATTGACACCTCCGAGAATGAAATGAAGTCTGATTTGGTTTCATGGTTCTGCAAGAAGCCACCGAGTGAGACATCTAAAGATGAGAGTTCCGATGCCCAGTCCCCATCCAAGGCCAGTGAAAGTACTCCAAAGATTTCGTTCTTTGGGGTCAAGACATCGGCAAAAGGTTCACTGAGTCGTGGAAGTCCATCCAACCACGCCAAGATGCTGAAGTTCGATGACCAACCTGAGATTCAAATGTACGAAGTTGAATCGGATTCGAAACGAAATGAGCCCAATCGACATACCACATACCGAAAGATCGAATTCGTCTCGGCCATCGACCAGCCTCTTCCCGCTCCAGGTGAACTTGATCAGGATGCAAGTCCATCCAACGTGTCCAAAGAGCCTTGCTCATTGGGTGAGGTCGCTGGGTATTCCGGATTTTCAAAGAAGGTGGATCGTGAGTTGTCGCTGCACCGCCGTCGAGGTCACATTCCATTTGACGGGCGTTGCACTCATTGTGTTAAAAGTAGATCCACGTTGCACCATGGTCGTGTAAGTAAGTCAAACAGCACACCTGTTGACCATCAAATGCTCTTGATCCAAGCAGATTTCTTCTTTTTGGAAGGGAACAAATTCATCATTTTGGTTGATGCCGGAACAGGATTGCTTGGAGTCAGTCTATGTGGTCCCAATCAAGACCAAATCGTGTCTGAATATCGACAGTATTTTCGGCAACTCGGAATCTCAGAACACTCATTCCAGACTGTCGAAGTGTTGACCGATAGTGAGCCCTTGATTGGAGCCCTGTTGAGGCGATTGAGTCTACCACTTCAGGTGAAAGCTGCCGCACCCCAGTCTCACGAGAGTATTGGTTTAGCCGAGCGCAACGTTCGCAGGGTCAAGGACATGACGGCCTGTATCAGGAGTGATTTGCGTCTCCATGGATTCGATTTGACCGGTAGCCCAGAGAGCTTCAATCGAATCATGCAATATGTCACACAAACCCAAAACCACTTCGGTGTGGGAGGTTCGATAGGCCAATCAGCAGGACTTGAGAGTAGGAGATCGCCCATCGAGTTAGTTGTAGGCAAGGACCATCCGAAGCCAACCTCCACAATGTTTGGGAGTGTGTGCCATGCACGAGTACCAGATTCATTGATTGAAAGCATCCCCGAAAGAACTCGTTTCATCCCAGCAGCATACTTGCATGTGAATCCAAACAGTTTGGCACACGTGATATCAAGTAGGATTAATGGGAAAGAGCACGTATTTCAGTCAGAGGTCAAGCCGTTGAGTCAGATCTTGTGGGACCCCGACCTCGCTCCATCCATCCTCAAAGGCATTGCGAAAGATGATGGATCATCAATGCCCAAGCAGTCCCGACCGCCGGAGCCTCTCGATGACAAGATTGGGGTTGAGGATGCATTGCCCAATCACGGGCCACCAAGGGAATGGGTGAGGGAGCATGGGGGGACTCCAAACTGCAGTGCTTGCAACTCATCAAGTCGTCATGCCAAAAAGCACACAGCCAATTGCTGCCGGAGATATAGAGAGTGGGTGCAGAGTCAGCGCAATGCGTTGTCTGAGTCAGTCCCGAAAGTGGTTGATAAGGTTGAGGGTCAGTCATCAGAGTCAGGGGACCTAGTCAAGCCCATAGACCATCAGAGTCTTGATCCATCACATCCAACCGGTCGCATGCGGTATTCCGAAAAGAAGCCACCGATGCATGCTCCAGG